CTTAACAAAGATTCACAAAATTATGCTGCAGATGTGTCCATCTTTACAGTTAAAAATTGACAATAAATTTTATGGCGCCCTTGCTAAAACATAATTATATTTTATTTGAGATTTAAATAATAGAACTAAATGTTTATCGTCGTTATTGAGATTATAATATTCCTGGCATGACATATTATACATTATTTAACCATTAGCTCGTTCTCTAATGTTGTTAAATCCGATTTCTCTCCTTTTTTCCAGGCAGTCCTCTTCAGGCTAAAAATGCGCTCGGATGAGTAGAATGAGGTAAGGAGAAGTTTTGGCGAATCATAAAAAATAGAGAGAATTAAAATCTTTTCAAATAAGACATCAATGTCTTTCGGTATTTTTAATATATTTATTAAATTACAAAAACCTTAATTGATGGTTTCTGTTCCAAGGTCATAATATTTATACAATTGTAAATAGAGTTATTAAAATAAAATTTTGATTGTAAATATTCTAAAATTGTCTGAATAAAAATATCTGCATTATTTAAATATGTATTAATTAGAGTATTATTTGAACATTTTAATATAATATTTTTAGCAATAGCGCCATAAAATTTATTTTCAATTTTTAAATATAGAGATGAACAGAGCTGTAGCATAATTTTGTGAATCATTTTTAATAAAGAATATTCTGATTGCAACTGAATATTAACTGCATGCAGTAGATTTCCTACATGTGAAAAGAATCCCAAATATACTTCTGCCATTTCATATTAGAAAAATTTTTTCAAATTTTAGGACAGCCTTTAAAATCTTTATTTAAGAAGTATTTTTTTAAGGGTTTGTAAAATTTTAAAATTCTATCGATGGCAATTAATGACAACCACCTGATAGGTATATATCGCAACAACTCACACCATTCCAAGTCAGACCACTTCACCAACTCTTTTAATTCATTAACTCTTTTAGTTGAACTAAATTCGTTAAAATATTTCATCACAATTATTTCGACATCCACAGACAGTACATTCATTGCCTTCTTGCAAGAACTATGTAGTATATATGGCATATACAGCCAATTGGTAATAATTCATTTGTGCTGCCTCAATTCGGTAACTTTAGTTTTGGCCAAAATTTACAGAGGCATTATCAGCGCAGAAAGCTGGCATGCAAATCATTGATAACCTTGAATCAGCTATATTTACCCTTATGTGGCTAGCTACATCGTTGGATTTTTCACTATTTGAGGACTTTTTTTTAACAGTTTTATTGAAATGTTCTTATTCTTGTTGAAATTGCAAAGGATCGAGGGAAATGTTTTAATATTTCCATTATTAGATACATTTGTTAGAATTGCATATGGATGCCCATCTTTCAAATCGTCTAGAATTGACCTCTAGGATTCAGGTACCAAAACATTGTGATTGCCTTGCTCATTTTTATTGCCACAAGTAAGGTTTGCACTTATATTGGAGTCGTTAAATATCATGAGAAAAAGATTCTACCCACATTGTAATGATATATATAGAGCTCTGTGAATGTTGAACTACATAATAGATGTATACGATTTCCGCAAATATAGTTTCATTTTGAGAATATTTTTGTATTGCAATCGATGTTGATATACTCCCCTGTACTGACTAATATTAATGAAATGATGTTGATTTATTATTGGATAAAAATAAAACAGGATAGAAAGAAATTTACAAACTAGACATGTTTTTCGAATAAATATTTAAAATTTAATTTAAAAATATAAAAATAATCAATTAATGTCTCAAAATTATTATTTACATATTAAAAACGTTTAAAATACTTTTTTTTAAAAATCGCGGGAGAAATTAAATTGCGGTAGATTTTTGCGGGAGATTTCCAATTGCCGTAGTTTTGCGGGAGAGAGATATTTGCGTGTAAACTAAAAAATTGCGGGAGTCCCGCTGATGGGGAGAGACATGGCAACCCTGTTCATACTTAAAGGTTGCTACTGTCTATTTCTCTTATTAAAATTAGTTTTTGTTTATTGACTAGAAAAACGGATTGATGGAATAGTAAGTACTAATCTGGCATTTCTATGGTATGAGCTCACCCAAAAATATTTGTTTTTTTTCGCATGTTGCCAATCGTGGCAATTTTATCTTATTTTGTCGAAAAACTATCTAATGAATTGAAGAATCAATGTAATAAATTTCAATTATTGATTTAAGTTCCAGATTAAATGCTTCCAGAAATTTGGTTGGTTTTACGCTTTAATGGGAGATATAGATTTTATTTCTCTTATAGTACGATTACCTTTTTGTGTGTGAAAAAAATGACTGAAGAATTAATAAATATTAGCGCAAACCAGCTATTTTCCATTCTATCAATAATGCCAAATTAGGCAATTTTTCTTATTTTGCTAATAAACTTTTTCTTTATACTGTCTCTTAAACGAATTAAATTATAATTAATACGGAACATCGATAAAATTTTCTGAATAAATTATTTCCGTCGCTTAAATCATAGATTTGCCAAAATTTTGTTACTAATAGTTTTTTCCTTTTACGAGCTACTATACTCGTTTAAATACTAAATTGGTACAAATAAAGCAAGAAATAATGATATAATTTACAATTAGTTCGTAGAACTATTCAGCCGCCAAATTTAACGGCGCTGATATTAAAATATATAAATCTTGTTTATTCCTCTGTGATACACAAGTTGAAGCATATAAAGAAGTTACTCAGAATTATCAAACTATTATGGTAATTATAGATATAAATAGCTTAAACCTTTGATTTTGAATGATACGATCAAGTTAGAATATTTAGAAAGAATTAAATAAAAATGTAAATATAAGCCTAAAAAATATCTAAAAATTTATTTTTAATTCTACATTCAAATGCTGGCTCAGAAATGAGTTTAATGAATATGATTAGGCGAAAAAATTTTTCTTCGGTCTCATTTGATTTATTAGAGGCCGAATTAATGGTAAAGCAGAATTTTGACATGAATTGCGAAGAGTTAAAATTTATTTCATATATAATAAACTTTTAAATAAAATAAATTCCTTCCGATAAATATGTAGATTTGGATCTAATTTTTATATATTTTGACTTTATATTCAAATTCAAATTTAAATTTGTAAATTATAATTTGTAAAAAATTATTCACCAATATTGATATATAAAAGGATTGCAGTTGTGGCGCTTTCCGCTTTTTGTCCTTTAGTCATTAAAAATCCCACCTCACTCTTAGAATATGGGAGGTATGGCCGGGCCTAAAAATTTTTGCAATTTACAAAATGAATGAGAAAATTGAATAATACACCTATTTAATATAATTAAAATATAGCCACTTTTTATAATTATTTTTTATTATCCTTCATTTATATATTCCTCTCAAAATTTAGAAAATGTTTTTATCAACCCCCCCCCCCCCACCCCCACCCTTGTCGTGGTAAAATATGTAAAAGTAAATAAATAAACACTTAACCCATTTTGCCCTGATTTCCCGATATTGGAATATCTTTATTTTCTTGATTTGGAACATTTTCTATTTATTTTCAAAAAACCCTGATTTTTTTAATTCCATTTTATTAGAAAAAATGAGTAAAAGTGCTTACAAATTGAGTAGAAGCGTTTAGCGATGTTTTCACAAATACGCTATGATTTAAATTGAACTGGTATTATTTTAAAAAATGATGAAAACTATTTTACGTTTTTTAATTTTTTTTTTATATTGTTTAGTTTGACTTGTGAAATCAGCAAAAATAAAAAACTAAAATAATTGAAGATCTAATGATTTATTTCCAAAATTTATTCTTCATAAATATTACAAATTTATGTAATCTAGAATATTTTGAATTTTTTTTTTGATTAATCATAACTTTGCAGTTATTTCTATTTATTAAAATGCGAATAGAAGAAAAAGGAAAGGTCATAATATTCAAATGAATTAGTTACTATTATATCAAAGTTATATCGATGTGCATTATCTCAAAATTGTAATTAGGAGGCATTAATTATCAGTAAAATTTTCTATAATTAAAATAATCTGAGAAAATCAATAAAAAATTCTTAGCTTTCAGTATATTTTTTTTATCTAGATTAGAAATAAAGTATTACTTTAAATGACATAAAGCACACTTTTAAATTTTATGTTGGGGGGGGGGTTAACTTATTCTGCTATAAACTTAACCCAAAATGTCCGCTCCATACTTACAACCATGAGTGAGTGAGACCAGGAAGACTAATATATTTTCTATCACATCAGATAGAGGTTACATGCTTATTAAATAAACAATACGTAATAAAATATTCTTAAAACATTAGCGTTTATGATTTAAGAAACTTCAGTTGGTAAATTGATATTGAATATATCGATTTCACTTAAAATGAATTCACAATTTTCGCGGTCATGCGCTCGTTATAATAATTTCGCGCAAATACATTCGCGGTAGAAAATTCGCTATAAATGGTTCGCGATTAAAGTTTCGCTATAACGAGTTCGCGATCAAAGTTTCGCTAAATGTATTCGCTCTAAAGTATTCGCGGTTTAGGTTTCGCGGAAATAAATTCGCGATAATGAGTTCGCGATCAAAGTTTCGCCAAAATGTATTCGCTATAAAGTATTCGCGGTTAAAGTTTCGCGAAAATAAATTCGCTATAAAGAGTTCGCGATAAAAGTTTCGCTAAAATGTATTCGCTATAAAGTATTCGCGGTTACGGTTTCGCGGAAATAAATTCGCTATAACGAGTTCGCGATCAAAGTTTCGCTATAATGTATTCGCTATAAAGTATTCGCGGTCATGGTTTCGCGGAAATAAATTCGCGATAATAAGTTCGCGATATTGTCTTCGCTATAAAAGTTTCGCGGAAAAAAATTCGCGGAATTGGTTTCGCGATATTGCCTTCGCTATAAAATTCCTTCGCGATAAACGACATTCGCGATAAAAGTTTCGCTGAATTGACCTGATACGGTTATGTATGCTTTTTTTAAAAAAAAGAAGAAGATTGTATGAGCGACATAAATAATTTATATTCAAATGGCCACAATTATATTGATGGATAGATGAAAGTTATTAATAAAATGAATCTAGGTAGGATCTAGATCAAAGTTTCACTTTTTCAAAATACAATCTCATAAATTACGCCTTTAATTATAACATCGCTAATAATAACTTTTTCACCCTACGAGGCATAATTTTTTCTTCTAAATTTAAAAATTATTGTTGTTATAAATTTTGATTTTAACCTCTAAATAAAAATATTTGTCATTGATTATTTATTTTATTTTTTTCGCGGTGATTTAAAAAAAAATCGATATTTAAATAAATGGAAAAATGGAAAGGAAAAGTTGCTTTGGTAACCGGCGCTTCCAAAGGATTGGGAAGATGCATCGCTGAAACCCTGGCGTCACATGGGATCAAGGTGGTAGCCTGCGCTAGAAATGAAGAGCAATTGAAGGTTAGAAATTATTTTTCATTAAAATATTTTTCTGGGAGATTCTTCTTCTTTAGGATACAATTTTAAGATATAAGGCCCTGTCCTAGTTCGGCTTAACTCAATTATGCTTTTTTTTTAGTATAGGCAAGAAGGAATTTGATCGAGGACACACTTATTTTGGTTTATTTTAAGTATTTGGTGGTGGCATTTACTCTTTTTCGTATATTATTCTAATTTTTTTTGGTTGTTTTTTTGCTTTTTTTTGGCTAAGAGATGTTTAAATAGCCGGTTATTACGTTTTAAGCCGACCTTGGAATAACGTCCTAGACGTTTTATTTTCTTTTTTAAAATCACAGTTTGATTTGGGATTACACAAATCTTTTTGATTTTTCGCGTATTTCACGTCATTTTAAGTGGTCAAAAATATTTAAAATGATTATATGATTTATGATAGTTCCATCTTTATAAAAAAAAAAACTCTCAAAATTTAATTATTTTTTTTAACTGTATTTTAAACTTAACCCCTTACACTATAAATAATCAATAGTTATTTAGAATTGGCAAGGCTTTATAAATATAATAATCGAGATTTGAAGCGGAGGGGTAAATTTCCGTAGTGACCTTTATGGGAGGGGAGGAGTTACCCCTCCCATACGTATTTTGTTGATTTTTAGTCCTCTTTTGTCTGTTTTCTTTCTTTCTTTCTTTCTTTCTTTCTTTCTTTCTTTCTTTCTTTCTTTCTTTCTTTCTTTCTTTCTTTCTTTCTTTCTTTCTTTCTTTCTTTCTTTCTTTCTTTCTTTCTTTCTTTCTTTCTTTCTTTTTTTCTTTTCTTTTCTTTTCATTTCATTTCATTTCATTTCTTTTTTTCTTTTCTTTTATTTTCTTTTTTTTTCTTTTCTTTTCTTTTCTTTTCTTTTCTTTTCTTTCTACGATTAAATTTCACAGTTTTGAATTATTATTTTATGGTTTTGAAATTTTCGCAGTTTTAAATTATTGAATTCGCCGTTCTCATTAAAAATGGCCTCGTTTTTTTTTAAAAAAAATTAAAATATTGTCCAGTTTTATTTTTATTTAAACGCGCACAATTTTAATTAAAATATGTCCCCGTAAAATTTAAACGGGTGGCTTAGCTTTATAATAAAAACGAAAAAATTATTTTAATAACAAAATGGATGCACAATTTTTTTTTCAGGGAATCCTAATCAATATTCTTAATTCCAATCCCAATCCTATGAATTGATTGCTTGATTTAGTGTTATACAGCTCAATTCAAGCCCATTTTTAAAAACGGATAACTCAACATTCTATCCAGAAAAATGCTATGCAAGCCTAAAAATTTAGCTCATAGATGTCACATAGGATTGAACATATATTTTTTAAATCTCGACGCTTTGGCCAAAATTTTCCTGGCTATAACTACACTAGCTTGATGAGTAGTAAACTTGACTTGAATCGAGTTTCAGGTATTGCGCAGTTAAGCTGTTAAAATAATTTTTAAAAAAACTGCGCAAATGTTTAATATAACTGTGAAATGACATCCTAAAAAAAATCTATGTATATTATGAATTTTAAACCCTGTGCATAGAATTAATTTTCCAAAAATTTTTTTGTATTTAAACTTATACCTACGGCCTGTCGGTGACCGGGGTGGCATCTCTAAGCTCGGAAATTCATCTTACCATATGTCTTTACACATCACTCTTGAAGAAAAAGCTGAAAATATGCTCCTCACCAGGATTGAACCTGCGTCCTCTGCGTCCTTTTGTTTCCAAGCATACATCATAACCCATTTGGCCACCCCGGCGATTACGAAAAATATTTTATATTTCCCTATATATATCTATATAAAAATATATATAACATATAGTCCTTGAGTCAAGAGCTTAAGCAAAAAAACGCTCACCTGGATCCTGTAAAATGCGACATGGAAGACGTCACCCAAATTCTGGCCCTCTTCAAGTACATTTTCGACAATTACGGGACGCTCCATATATGCGTCAATAATGCTGGGGTTTCTTTCCCAGACTTTTTCCTGCCCAACGAACCCATTAAAGATGCGAAATCGCTCTACGGATCCGAGGTAAAATCCCGAACGGACATGTACGATCGTTGGTTAACTACTCTCAGAGTCAACGTCTTGGCATTGTCCATATGTTGCAAGGTCGATTCCATTTTAATTTTATTGCCATTTTTCCTTTTTCATGTCGGAGGGGAGATTAACAACGTAGTATTGCACCTGCAGAGGTACAATTAGCACAGCTTGGCCCGGATTTTTTTCAAAAATTTTTCTCCACCCGACCCGGGTTTTGATTTTTAAGTCAAGCCCGGCTTTTTTATGAAAAAATATTTGGGACCCGGCCGGATTTTTTTTAAAATATATTATATTTAAATATTTGGTTTTAAATTATACGGCCCGGCCCGGTAAAAAAAAATTCAGATCCGGCTCGAATATTTTTTAAAAAAAAAACTATAATACGGCCCAGCCCGTGTAGCCGGGCCGGGCTTAGGACCGGGCCTGCAGGTCTCTTATAATTATAGTAACTTTAAAACAAATACAAAATGTCTAAATATATATTTTTAAAAAAAACGATACTATTAATGATTAGGGTCGTTCCGTTCCCCGTGGCTTTCTTTATTTAGGTTGGTGTTGTCTAATGGCAACACCAAAAGTGGACAAAAAAATGGGTGACAAATTTCAATTAAAAAAATTAATTTTAATGGAATTATAACCACATTTTATATTAACAACAATAAAAACATATAAATATAAATAATTTCTGTAAGGAAGCCCTCAACTTGATGGTAGCCACCGGCTCCAAAAACGGGATAATAATCAACGTTAGCAGCATAGTGGGGAAGCAAGTTATACTTTGCCCCGTTGGTAAGGAAGGTCCCAACGATACCTACATACACATTTATGAGGCCACCAAATTCGCTGTATCCACGATATCCCAGCTGATTCGCTTGGAGATTCAGAGTAAACATCTGGAAGCTCACGGTATAAGAATTTTGAACCTCTGTCCGGGGTGGATAAAGACCAATTTCGCCGACAGAATTCTTCAGGTCACATCGGGGAATAACCAAAAAGATGCCCGTAAACATTTTTTGTTTATTCCTATATTGATGTTGAAAAAAATTAATAATAAATAATAATTCATTTCAAAAAAACGTCTAAAGCTTCCAATGAGATCGACTTTTTCAAGGACATAGAACATCTAGATCCTCGAGATGTGTGCGATGCTTTGATGACGGCCATCGCGTGTCCTTACGAAGTTCAAATCGATGAAATAATTTTAAAAGCGGTTAAAAAATCGTCTTGATGCGTTTTTCCGTTTTATATTTCTAATATAATGCTAAACATCATTTCTTATATAAAAAATTAATATATCATAGATTATCCTCTTGTAATTCAGGAAATTTTTTTTTAAAAAAATGATAAATTTTATAGAAACTAATGCTGAATTTGTTTCGCATTACATTATATATTTCTATATTGTTTATATATGATTTAAAATTATTTGTATATTGAAGATTTTATTTATTAAACCCCACCCCCTCCCCAAGATTTGTAATAATATAATAAACTTGTTTTTATAATTATTCGCTAGGAAAAACGCTATGATTTATTATTTTGCTCCCGTCTAAAACCTTGTTTCCCAAAGTGCAATAGTTTTTTAAAAACATTAAGGAAATTTAATGATACAAGTTTTTAAAAATTTTACGTATTTTTTTTTGGACTTTTTTTCGATTAAAATTTTTGAAAAGTTTTAGTTTATTGTTTTAGTCAATAATATGCAAGTCTCGAGATTTTATCAACTAGAAGTTCAAAGCAATCCTTCTGTCTCTGAGCAAAATCCCCAGTATTGCATAATTTGATTTTGGCTAAAATCGTAATCGGGCTGTTTTTTTTAAAAAAACTACTCATTTTAGGCATCTTCATTTCTTCTACATCAGTCGGCCTTTATTTAGATCTCTATTCTTTTGTCTTAATGTCAAGGTCTTTTCACCCATTTCTGGCAAGTTTATGACAACAAACACTCAATTTTTAGAAAAATTGAAATTGGAATAAAAACGAAATTGAAATCTGAAAATCGTGTCCTATGTTTAATTATTATCAATCTTTTTTTTCGGCTTTTATATCTATAAATTATATATAACGAAAACAGAATATTCAAATATATTACTATGAATAATTTAAAGTCAAGATAAATTATAACGCGAAACGAGTGTATTCAAATCTAATAAAATTTAACGTTGTCTTAGTAGTTTTTAATTTGTGCATCTTGTCCTATAATAATAAGTCTAAGATGAGTATAACAAAGGCCTTTTGGAGCTTATATAAGATGTGAGAGGTCTCATTTTCGTAATCGCTGCCCTTTTCAAATCTGTTACACATGTTTACCCCGAAGTTCAACATAGCGATTTCAACAAAGAATGGATTGACACGATTCAACCTTCAAATTCATCAAAAAAAGAATAGACAGGCATATTGCGAATTTCAACCAAAATGATTTCTACGAACAATGGATTAATACGATACAAATTACAAATTCCTTCAAAGATTTCGAGGCTTTACAAACAGTAATTTCCTCAAAAGATTTCGAACAAATTACAAATTCTCAGTGATTTTCGATGAGGTACGAGCTGCAAGTTAATTTGAAGATTTCGAGGCAAAGGAAATGGAATATCTTGGGCGCAATATTAACTGGAATGGAATACACACCACAAATAAACATGTAACAGCTATAAGGAATGCGCCTGCGCCAAGAAACATGAATGAATTATAAGCATTTATTGAACTCCTTACGTATTATCATTGCTTCATAATTTCTCAACAGAGGCACCAAATTAGGCGTATGCACAATAATAAAACTTAGAAATAATATAATAAATATCATATTCAAAAGAAGATAAGTTTTAAAATATAACATTAACCTACACCTGGCGAAAATCTGTCCGGTGGTTTCAGGTTTCTTGTCGGGTAACGTGAATACTTTTCTTTTATTTTAGCATGGTCTTCATTCATTATCGATAATTCCGTTTTAGGTAATTGGTTATCGGTTGGGAGCTCAGCACACTTTTCCCTTATATTATCCTGGTTAGTCGTAATCTCCTTAGTAATAAATTTACTTCGTAAGTAATTTAAATGTCTTTTTTCTCTATCACTTTTAGGCGATTGCACAATATATGTCGTTGGATTAAATCGATCTCTTATTTCTCCGGTTAACCGATTGGGTTGATTTTCTTTCTGCTTTCTAAAATTCTTTATCCAATACCACATCTTTACCTTGAAACGTATTTACTTCATCATTTACTAAGTTATCATTTCAAAAAGGGTTCTAAAGACTCTCGTTTTAATAGTAATGAAGCTGGAGTAGCGTTTGCTTAATGTGGAGTATCGCGATAACGAGCATAAAAATTCTTCCTAAAGTGTTTTCTCGAATACTTTTTTTTTGCATATAATTTTTTTAAAACAATGGTAAAATAATCTTTCTTTCCTCTAATCTAGAATAATTTTTTTGAGGGTACCGTCGAAGCGAAAAATATCTTCTTACTCCACCCCCCCCCCCTTTATTTTAAATATTAGTATTATAAAGCTTATTAAACTTCGATATAATTCTAACGAAATTTTATTTAGGTTTCAAGAAAGTTAGCTTGGACTCAATTAAAAAATCTTTAAATTAATCAATATCCCCAAAAAAAGGAAAAGGTGCAGTACCTAGAAAAAAAAATCAGATTCTAATCGTAACCACCCCCTTCCTCCAAAAAAAAATCGAAAGGGTTAGCGTTCATCTTTCATTCGAAAAAATCGACGCATTAAGCGTTCAACGTTAACCTTCAAAAAAAAGGAACGCGTTCACGTTCGTTCAAAACTTTACGAATAATTTTTTTTTTTTAAATTTTTACTTAATATTTAATTTAATATAAATAAATACCATATATTTTTTAACACAATATAATTAACCGTGCTTAAAATTAAAAAATATTTAGTCTAAAAAAAAAATTCCTGCATTTTGAAATGATTCGAAATAAGAAAATTTTCTATAATCGAAAGAACGTAAAAAACGAACGCGTTCGAAACGCGTTCACCTTCGAAAAATAAAAGGAGCGTCGTTCTTCATTTTTTTTTCACGAACGAGTTCGTTTTGCAACATTAATAATCACTTATTCTATAAAGAAATAGTAGCATATTATTCGTTGTTTGTCCTGAGACAGTCCGATCTAGAAAAGATAATATTTTTTTTAAATGAATTTTATTTAACCCTCGATATTCGGCACATAGGCTTCCAAACTTATCTTCATTCTTTCATAATATTATTTTGTCTAAATTCTTTCTCGGATCGTTTTTACAGATCTACCTGAATCGGGCTTTTTAACAACCCTCTCTTATCCCTTATGTCTCTAGTAAGATATTTAAGAGGTCGAACCGAATGAAATTGAAAATTGTACAAAGAACATTTTAATGCTTCTTAACCTTTTAAATGCCAAATAATTTTTTTTTTTATAAATTCTTTATTCAAATACTCCATAAATAAAATTTTTAGTTTAGATTTAATTTTACAATGTATAGATCAAACACCAATTAATGACATTAATTGGCAGAACATTGCCCAAAAATACAAATAATATTATTAGAAATATAAATGTCTAAGGTCCGGTCTGATTTGAAAAAAAAATTTCCATTTCCAAGAGCGACCCCTATATAGATTTTAAAAATAAATATTTACAAACCCAATAAAATTCTGGGGAGTCTTGTAAAGTCTTTTACCTGAGGAGATATCCTCTTAAGTTAAATTATCTCTCTTTTAGTAATTCAATTACTTTCTATGATTAGTGGTTTCACTCATAAATGAAACAAAGTGTCCATTTCCTTTTCCTTCTTTCCAATTTAATTTTTTTTTAAATTTTTTACTGATAAAATAAGTAATTATAATTATACAATGTTATATTTTAGAGGAATTTGAATTTAAATTTTGCAATTGACTAATTAATTTAATATATTGTCGTATATTACATATATAACAATTGTAATAATATTTAATATTATGTTATATTTATTATATTTTTTAAAATTTAAATAAATAAATATATTATTAATGATAGATGATACAGATATAAATATTGATATAAAAAAGATGATCCTAGGTTTTGTATCAGGTTATTTAAGTTAATAGATGCTATATTATTATTATAATTACTTTTTATAATTATTATATAACCTTTGACTACCAAAACGATGGCATGGCCGATGATTAATATTCTATCCATTATTATAATATATGTACTTATTGTTATTCTAGAATTTTCGGATGTTATTTAGTAGATTTGACTTAATTAAGATGTCATGACTATAAAATAAAATATTTTGATCGCTTTTATGAAAGTTATATTGATCATAAATGAATTAAAAAACAACATTCTACTTGTGATTATGAAATTAGTTCTTATTATTCAAATGAAAATATATAATAAGGGACAATAATTAACATTTTTAGAATATGCTCCATCTGGTATTCAATATCGGAAATATTATTACATTTTTATCCCCTTACTATAGCATCTAAATAAGAAAAATAATGTAACATTATAAAACGATGCTCAAAAAGTAAATAAAATTTTAAAAGTAAAATAATTAAAAATAATATAATGATAAATTGCATTTTTAATTTAAAATATTAAAGTCAGTGAGACGGAGAGTTTTTAAATATATGTCTTATGAATGGTGGAATATATGGTTCCACTTACGAAATTCAATATTAGGAATTGTAAACCAATGTTTTTTTTTTAATTGATACAAATATTTCAATAAAAAGTTTATATAATATAATGATAACAATATATTTCATTTTTACACTTTTTCATTAAATAATAATGATAAAAAACATTAATATATCAATAGATAATTTAATGTTTTTATTATAAAACATCTCTTGCGAAAACCAATACATAATATATTTATTCACTTCTCTTTTTCACTGATATAATCCAAAATTATACAAAGTCCAGCACGTCTGACTTCGTCAATCGCCACACTTTGTATTTAATTGGAATAGATATGTATAATAAAAGATGAAATTTACAATATATTTTAAATTAAGTTTAATCAAGTATATTTAATTAAATATATAAATGTGAAAACAATAATAATGAGACTTTGAAATTTTTTATATTTTTACAGATAAACAGATGTTTATAACACTTTAGGGTTAGGTCGAAATTTATTTATTTTCGACAAGGATAACGTGCTAGATAAGATAAGATATGGGTAAATAAAAATATACTATAATTTGAGATATTATGATATAACAGTATGTATATAAATTTTAATACATGTTAAACACATAAATTTTGAATCATAAATATTTTAAATTAAATATTTTTAATAGAAAATTTAGAATTCAATGGACAAAATTTAGAAAAATATGTGGAAATATATTTGTCTAAGTTCCATGATTCCGAAAATGAATTAGATATTCAAAGAAATAAAATCGATAATTTTAAAAATATTCTACATGAATCATTAGTCTTAAGGTCTGCTGTTGATAAATTAAATACTCAAATCAAGTTGGTAGATACAAAATTATCTGCAACTCATGATGTGAGTTATATTTTTTTTATTTATGCTAATTTTTTATATCAGCTTAAGAAACAGATTGATAAAAACCAGAAAGAATTGCAACTTCAACAAATACAATTAAACAGAATATGCAATGAATTAGACCAGCTTAGTTTCCTTATACATTTTAGTAAATTAGTTAGTTCGATTCAAAATGGTATCACACAATTGCTAGAAAATGGGAAATTGGTAAATAGCTCATTAATAACAGGGCTGATAGACCTATTTAAAAATTTGAAAGAACTTAAAATAAAACTTGTTAGCTATAAGGGTAATCAATATTTTGATGAAGATATATATCAACAGTTAAGAGATAAAATATATCAGCTTTTACATTCATTGAACAAAATATTAGTTGATGTATGGAATGAAAATATCACCATTAAAGGTTAATTTGATTTATGGATAAATCATATTTTAATATTTTTTAAAAAAAACATTATAGAACATAAAACAATTCAGGATCAATTAGAGATTGTTATTTTACAATTGCCACCATTCTGTTTATGCGGAGATGTTTGGATCAAACCATGTACCTTTTTATTAGATTGCCTTCACCAAATCTACCTCTTATTAAATTTAGGTTTTTTTAACAATTCTATACCTATTCAATAAAATTTCAATCAATAAAACCTTGGTGGGGCTAAAATTAGATTATGAAAATTTTTTATTACCTGGCATATAAGAAAAATTTGTACACGCTTGAAAAATTTACCCTAATTTGGCATCTAAAAAGATAAATTTTCACCCATTTTATTATTGGCTAATTATAATTATAATATAATTCTAACTTATTATTGATCAATTTAAGCTTGCTATGATTTATTTTTTTTATTTTATATTGATATAAAGTTGAAAACGTTTTTTCTTAAGTATATTTTATTCTCTATTTTAATGTTATGCATTAATTTAATTGTTCAGCAATGACTTTGATAATTTCATGATGTTTATCTATTTTGTAATTTTTTTAATTTTGGGAGCTATGGGGAAGAGAGGGGGTGGGTATTAGATAAGCCAGTAAGCCAGTCCCCTGATATAAATTTTACCCCCACAAAATGCCTTTTATGCGATTAGTAAATTTAATTTAAAAAAAGAGCAAATATTATATAAAAATCAATTCTTTCATAATAAATATTCCTGCATTATTTAATTTAATTAATATTTTATGTATTTTTGAATAAGACCTTTTATAGATATAATTTTGGCCTAATAATATACATAATTAATTCCACTCCCTTCACCCCTCACAAATGAGAATTTTATCTACAGCCCAACATGTTAGGATCACCTGATGCCAAAAATTTATCTATTTCCATGGGTAAATTTTATTTCACTCCTTCTACATGAACCAGGGTTAGTTTATAATATGAATGTTATCTTAGAAATAGTTGACATGTGATAACACTACTTATTATCATGTGATTATTGGTTATTATTATTTTTAACTGTTTCGGTATTTTAATTACATATTGTTTTTTGGTTTTTTTTACAGAAGAAACAGTTAACGACGTCGATAATTGTTTGAACCGCGAAGAGCCTTTGCGATCTTTTTACAAGAAGTTGTGGAAATTCTTGTACGAACCCTTGCTTAAATTTTACGCCGATCGCCTCGATAGGTGCAAGCATGGGGACATTACCTTTTCCGAGATATCCATTTCGGCCGCCGTCAATTCTACGAGTCTCGACCAGGTTCGTTTTTTTCCGTATGTATAAAGTGCTTAACAAATTGAAACGCTTTCCGTAACTCATAATAAATGACAACGTGCAAATTGATATTATTTTGCTTTAACAAAATTCTCCGCATTTTCACAAAAACTGTTGTCCAAATTTATTTATAAGCACTATTGATCAACATTTTTTTTTATTCTTTTGATTAGTAATGCAAAACGCTCTATTTGAGCCTATCGTTTATAAATAATGTCTGACCCAGTATTTCATCCGAAAAAATATTAAGCAAGCCCGAAATTTTTGCTCTTAGATGGAACCCACGAACAAAATCTTCAGGCTTGCTTAATATTTTTCTGGATGAAATAATGAGTTAGCCGTTTTTAAAAATCGGCTCAAAACGAGCCGTTTAACAACACTACTAGGACCTATATACCGAATATCAAATATATATAACCGGAGCCCGAACTCGGCTAGAACCCCTCCGTAAAATAAGATGTCAAGAAACCGGAACCCTTTATTTTAGTTCGTCCAAGCTTTCAAAACTCTGAATTTTTTTTTTGATTAAAATGAAATTTAGAATATCCAGAAAAAAACGTTAGAACTTCGTTTCCACGAGGAATCTTCTGAATCCTGTGAGTATAATATATATCTAGATTTGACTAATTATTTATTTTTTTCAAAATCATTTATGAATACTCGCTTAATTACTAAGAAAAAATATATAATTAGGATCTAATTGTATACCAGTTAGAGCTGATCGAGAACCAACATCTTGTAACGCTTCTGAAACCTACTTGAGAATAGTATTTGGGCGGTGCCGATCCACCAATTCTTTTAAACCGATCGGACATTTTTTACGATACCTCCAATGACATATAATAATACCTAGACTGACGATGCATTCCTTAAAAGTGTACATCAAGAACAAGCTGGGGACGCCATTTTGGCTACCCATAGTGACGCAAACTTTATTAAAGAATTGCCTGATCATCGAGATAATAAGGAAGCCAGTTATCAATTTAATAGTAGTTTTTTAACACGAGAATAGTTACTATATGGGTTACCACAATGGCGGGTCCAGCTGATTGGCATTCAACGACGCTTTCAAATGCATTATTAGGAATCTATCTTCAGTCTAGGTCGGTCACGATATATTTTTTAAATTTATTTACCATCTATCTTTGGGTCAAAGTCAAAAGATCAATATTACCTTAAGAAATAGGAAATAAATAACTGCTAACGACGAGCATTTGGGTACTAAAAAACGCATTAAATTTTCCGTTTTCTCGTGGCCAAGGGTATATTTGGGGTACATTAGTTAAAATTAATTTTGAAAGGTTAGGGTAATAGGTGGCAAAAACTGGGAGATTATATAACGTTTTATATTAATAATAAATTAGGCGATGGCGATAAAGAAACCCCGCCTAAATACTCTTTCAATAACCTCTGTAACGATATGTGCGACCATTTGAACCGGATAGAAATTTTCTTAACTTTCAACTTCGATTTGGACGCATCCAAAACCGATAAAATATTCGGGTTGAATCAGCTGATCGGTGCCGAGAGGCCGAAAACGTGTTTGGAATACGGCGGTATTTACGGTCAACTTAACCGAGCGATTTCTGAAAAGATTTTCGAGCCCAATATCCCGGAAAATATTGAGGTTCAGTTTTTTTCCAATTATTTTAAAAAAATACTAGAAAAGATTTAAATGTAGTTATAAATGAATGAAAGAAAGAAAAAAGAAAGAAAGAAAAACAAATGCAAATGATAAATGAAAGATATATTTTTTAACACTTTTCAATAGATTTTGGGAATTATGCCAAGCATAGTGAAACTTATTTTTATACAATTATACCCTGCGTTGACTGTTACCGCGAATCGCGGTGTAATGTACAAAATGTGTGAGAATTAAAAACAGAAAATGTAAACGATTTAAAAATTATTTTTTAGGGATACACGGATTTCCGCGAGGGTTTGTCGTACCTTGTTCGAAATTTGCGCGGCGTCGCATTGACAGCTGATCTGGAGGGCGTCGGCGATATATCTAAAATTTATTTCTCAAAATTTTTGCGAAATTTTTCTGCCGCTATATTGGCAAAAGCTCGAATTATAATATCGAAATCCGGGGACTGTGCCACCTACCTGAAAACGATATCCTCTAAAGATATAAGTCAGTTTGTAAATTGTTTCTTTCATTATTTATAAACGTATATATTAATCTTTCTTAAAAAGGTATAGCAAATGATACGAGTGTGACGATTGACGCTGTCGGTCAAAACTATTCTAAAACTGATCTCGAAACCCCGAAAAGTATCGCGGAATCCTTGGAAAAATTCCAAACACTTTTCCAGGAATTAAACGTAGAAAAATATTTGGGATGTGACTCCCTGGATTTTCCCGAATGCCAAATCAGGTTTGTGTTTGAACGATCATATTCATTTAATTATTTTTGGTAAATCGATTTTTTGTAATGACGTCACCCATATTTTACTTTTACATATGTTAGCACCAATACTTTCCTAAAAGCAACTTTCTTCGAAACTAATGTTAAAAAAAATAATAGAGATCTGGGTTAGGTTTATTAAAAAATAATAAAGGAGGGCGGGCGGGGGGGGGGAGGCTGTGTCATTATTAAAATGAGACCATGGTTATAAATGTGTAATATTTCAGAATTGACTGACACCGAATTTGGCGGCGAATTCATTTGTGCCTTAAATATTCTTGGAATATCGATGGAACGTATAAGAAGCTTGTTATACAACAACGAAAAAATTTTTGCAATGATTGGGAGGGTGATTAAAATTCTCTTCCCTTCGAGACATGCATAGGTGCCATTTGAACTGTTCTGCCCAGATTTTTTTCGGCCCGGCCCGGGTTTTATATTTTTACGCCCGGCCCAGATTTTTCTACAAGTATATTACATTTATTTTATTTTTGTAGCTAATAATAGCCATTTCAAATATTTGTTTTTTAAAATATACGGCCCTGCACATGTGCCCGGGCTTAGGGCCGAGCCTCCAGGTCTCTGATTAAAACCTATATCTCTTCTCTACTCTATGATTATAGTGTGGATGATTAAATGGAAACTTTCCTTTTTGCAATATATTAATTCAATATATTGGTTTATCTTACCACTAAATTATTCATTTATTTTTCTCTATTCTTTCGCCTTTATAAACTCCGAAATTACTTGACAAAAACACAGAATTATTAAATATATTTTTTAAAAATAAAATAAGATAAGATAGAGCAAATTTACAATTTCTCAAAATCAGAATCAGCCCTATCCCATAGTGTAATAAAATATATACGCAATTCTTGGGTATGGGCTTTTGCTTTGCACAACTCTTTTCTTATCTAAGCATATGGGCGTTTAAATGACGGCCCTCGGACTGTTGTGTGACAGATACGTGCTACTTGTTCACAAACATACATGTATTTTAGCAAAACAAGTAAATTACCTAAGCATGCAGATTTTGCTCTTAGACAAGAAAAGGTTTGGACATATGTTATCGAAATTTTTTTAACCTTTTCTAAAAAAAAATCGCTTTTAAAATCAAGCCGAAACAACACTACATTTTTCCATAAACATTGCCCATATTTTAAATGAGTTGATTGACTTTTGGATAATAAGAAAAGAAAATACACTAATCATTCGTGAAAGTCAGTTGGATCCTTTTGATTATAAATATCGGATCGGGTTTGTAGTAATATCGATTCTGGCCGGTGAAAGATTTGTGGGTTCACCACCGCTCTATTATATTTGACTTTAAAAATTGGGGGGGGGGCAGCTTTAACAACACAAAATTTCGCATTCATCGCCATTTTGTAGCTTTATGAATCCTATATAAGGTATAAGGCTGCATTCAATAGTGGGATCTGATCCTACACAATTTAACAGCTGATTGATTTTTAAAACCGGTTTATGACTTTATGAGATCAGTCTATTTTTTTTTATTAATATTATAATTTTATAAAATATTTATGATAATAATCTAAGAATTATTGATTTCAATAATGAAAAAAATTGATATCATAAAACATTTTTTTAAATCGATCAGCTGTTAAATCGGATCTCGATCCCACTATGAATCCAGTCTAACTCTTAAAATTAATGGCGGCTAAATAAAATATCTATTATAAATTAAATCTTTTTTTCATTTGATTGTTAAATCAAGCGAAATAATGAAAGAATTACTCGCTGAGATCCGCCAGGTATCCTTTTTAGGGCACGATGAATCCATAATTCGAGCGTTCGACGAAGACGAAGATTCGGATGTGAAGAGTTTCCCGCAATTTTGTTCCACCGTCGACAAAACTATTCGTGATATCGTTGAATTATTTATAAATCTTACGCCAGCCATCAATTCGAACCCTCAGATTTCCCAAATCCCTTTGTATTCCAGTTATTTAAATATATATATTCCTTTCCTTTTTCATAAATAAAATCAATTTTAAAATGGCGGCAATTAAATTTGTAATTATTACGTCACACCTATTAATCCGCCATTTAGCAAATCATCCTTTCGGCCATATTGTTTACTTAATAAATGATAGATACAATTTAATTTTATCACTTTATATAACAAAATAATCCTAAAGTTGTCTACATGAACGACTGCTTATTCCTGGCGCATCAGTTGATTCGGTTAGACGCCCATACCCGGAATCTTCGAGCAGGGTTAGTTAAGGTAAATAATATACCCGATAAAAATAGGTCTGAAGATGATCTCCACGATATCGAGCCCTTGTTACATGCCTACGCTTACGAGCTCATGGCAAAGGGGGTAGGTACCTTCAAGGTCCAGCTATTTGCGAATCAATTCAAGATTATCAAAGATTTCGTAGTTGGTATTATACAAAAAAAAATTTTCCCGACTTTCTATTTTTAAAAGAATATTTGTCAGAGACCTGCAGGCCCGGTCCGGGTACACGGGTAGTGACCGTATTTTATCGCTATCATTAGCTATAAAAATTAAAAAATAAATTTGATATATATTAAGAAAAATCCGGGCCGGGCCCGGGTCGTGCTGAAAATAATATTTTTTTAAAAAATAAATCCGGGCTGGGCCGTGTAAATGGTACCCCTGCAGGCCAATATTTATAGATGTTCAGGTGTCATTATTTAGTTTTTTTTTGAGGGAGTTTATTTTTGTTCAATTACCATGCTTCCTAGCCCCATATTATTCTCAACCTATTTAATAAAATTCAATAAGGGAATGAGGTATGAATGCCATAAGCTTTAATTTTAGCTTACCTTATTACCTCAAGTTTTAAGATTTTAACTTTTTGACATAATGAAGATCGACCAATGGAATTTTTTTTTTTATCAGCATAAGTTGACTCCCTCACAGATACTCGTTTCTAAATCGCTAAAAAAAACAAAAGGAAAATTTGGGAATTTCACTTGATATTTTTCTAGAACGAAGTAAATCTAAAATTAATATAGATGCTAAGGAAGTAAACACTTATGGGAAATTATCAACAATTATTCCCAAAAGTTGTTCCCAATTCTGGGAACAATGATTATTATTACCTCCATTTTTTAGCCATTTTTTAAAAAAAATAAGAACTCAATTTAAATGGGAAAGTTTACTTACCTTCCATCTATCAATATTATTTTCCAATAAAAATCAGTTCAGTTAACCTTGGATTAATTGTATAAGATATATATACCGACGAAATTAATTACTAAAGATATAATAAAATTATTCATTGTTTTGACGGATAATAAATATTTTCTAAGAGATTTAAACGAAATTCCCAATTTTTATCGATTTAGAACCTATACCTTCTATCTGAGTATCACCCTTGTTAAAAATTTATTTGCCTTTCGTGTTATTATTGACAAATTCCTTATCGATGTTTGGAGTAGTTTTAGGGAGGAGAAAAGGGGGTGGATTTATTTTGGAACACTTTTATAATAAAAAACAAATAAAACATTTTTTAAAAAATAAAAAACAGCTATATTATAAAAAATACGCCTTAGTTTTCTGGTTTTTAAGGTTTTAGTATTTTTCTCTTAATGGGAACAAGAGAAGTTTGAAATTAAAATTTAAAACTAATTTTATGTACTCCCTATATCTATCAGAATATTTTGACGGCTTGAATACGGATAAGAATCTCGATGCAATACCCTCCGACAAACCGCTCAAAAAATGTTGCCTGCATTTGAAGAATCTTAAAAAAGTTAGTACGGCAATTGTTTAGACTTTTTTTGTTTGACAGGTGCCATAAATTTTACCATGAAAATGGGAAATCACGTTGACAAGTTAGTCGTCAAGTCACGCCCGGTGTTGTTAAAACGGCCTCGATTTTAGGCTAGGCGTTAACCATCGTTTGACGTTTATATGAAAATATATTTACGATATAACATAATTTTCGCTATTCGTGTCATGTTGAATTAGGATATTTTTACTATCAGATTTCTCTAATCGATTTAAACCATATCCAGGCGACGCACTATAAAAAAAACGTTTTGTATTAATTAGTATAAAAACCGTCAATTTTGATTTTTTTTATAATAAATGTTTTTCGACGTTTTTTTAGCTTTTCGCGGGTCACTTACCACGTGGAATATGGCAAAAATCTTTGGGTTCGTTATTGGATCACGAATTGAATACCATCATGGCGAAAGTTTTAGAAATGGACGATATCAGTGTGAAATGTAGCGAATCCATGTTAAACCATTTCGGGGTTTGTGTAATCGATGATGCGATTTCGCTCTTCGACTCTACCGCAGATTTTGCTTATAAAGATAGCCCATTATCAGAGGTTTCTTATGTCGGTTAATTTTTTTTATTACTCTGTTCATTTACCGAAATTTTTTAAAAAATTGTTTTTCTATTTAATTGCTTAATATTCGTATAGAGTTAAGAATCCGGCTCAGACTTGGCTAAAAACCCGGGTTCGGGTTTAGAGGTATCGAGCCTAAAAATTCTATCTTTTTCGGCTTTATTTTAGGCACATAACGTCCCTCAATTATTAAATACTTATCTATTTATAAAACATTAATATTATATTAGAATTCCTTCTCGAACCCCCAGATTTACAGTCGTTCTTTAGCCAAATTCAAAGGACTTTTGCAAATTTTGGAGAAACCCATGTCAGAAATAGCTGAGAGTTGGCTTAGACGCGAAACACCCGATTCGATTGCGAAATTTACGAACGGTTATAAATTAATATTTATATAACCATCTTCATATTCACTCATATTTCTCCTTTTTTTTGAGGAAGGAAGATACCTTCGGGTTAAGTTTTTGCTTAAATAAGTATCGTTTTAAAGATTTCAAATTTTTTTTTTGTTTAAAGAAAAGTATCGCTTTAAATATTTCAAATACTTTTTTTTGTTTAAAGAAAGTTATATCTCAAATAATTTTTTTTTTGTTTAAAGAGATGGGACATTTTATAATAATATTCTTATCTATATATATATAAAGTTTATATTTAACTTATCGATATTTTTTTCAATTTCGTTATTAATTAGCGTATCCTTTAATATTTTTCATATTTATTTGTGGTTCAACAACTTAATACTTATAAAATGGAAATTTAAATAAGTATTTAAATAAAAAAAAATCAATTTGATTTAAGTTATTTTTGTAATTTTACAAATCAATCAACGATTACAAAATTTAATAAATTCACCAGAGACCTGTAGAGGTACCATTTCAACGGCCGGGCCCATCAAAACCTTTCTACCTTTCTATGAGCTTAATCTCCAGTTAAAATATTGGGGTTAACCCAATGTCATAATACCTAGACTGATGATTCATTCGTTAAAATGCATATTTAAGCGTCGTTAAAAGTAAATCATCTGGACCCACCATTTTTGTAACGCGTATAGTAATTATTCTCGTGTTTAAAAACTTCTATCAAATTGATAAACTTGCTTCCTTAATTATCTCGATGATCCGCTAATTCTTTAATAAAGTTTGCAATTCAGATTTAGGGATAAATTGGGCTCTCGTTTAAAATTTTAATAATGATTAGTGTAAACCAAGATGGCGTCTCCAGCTGATTTTCATTGATGTACACTTTTAATGAATGAATCGTCAAAGACTATATATAATTTGGAATAAATTACTGATTTTTTTTTGTTAAATTTTTTTGTTAAAAAAACAAAAAATTATAATTCAAGCTTTTAAAACTTCGAAAATAAAAACAAATTTAGAAATTTTTTAGTTTGAGCGGTCAGATTGCTTTTTAGGGCGGTACGCGGCAACTTTAATCAAATTGATTTTTTTTTGAAATTACGATATAATTCTGCGTTAAAAACTGAACAACGCGCTTCTACTTCGCTTCTTTTAGAATTCTTTCTTTCTTTTCTAATGATATTAAAATTCCAAAGGGTTTTAGTTATAAAAAGACTAAAAATCATATAAATAATTTCTATATTATTTCGATAATTAAAGGTCATATAATATTTAATATGTTTTTCTTACGAAATTAATCTTCTAATATTATTTTCATTTGTTTTTTTAAAAAATAAACAGAGTTATACAAAGAAAGGAAAAAATTTCTATATTAAACTATGATTAATTTTTATTTATCATAATTATTGAATCTCCCACTTACCGATTCATTTACCAATCTTCATTCAATGGTTAATATTTATTAATTTACCAATCTCAATTCAATGTGTAATATTTACTATCCATATATTTATATATTGTATCCAAAACAGTCATCTAATATATCTAAAACAATCAATGTATTATCAATATAATTATATAATCATTTTGTTTCTTCGTTCAGTCTTGATATCCTTGTCCTTTCTTCCCAACAACAATTGCATCAGGTGATCTCCCCCCAAAATCTTTCCCCTTCACCACCCGAATCCATCATCCCCAAGGAAAAATTAATTGTTAATATCAGAAAATGACTGACATTTAGTATATTATATTAAATTTATTTCTTCCTTTTTTTTAACGGCTACAACAATAATAATACTTATTTATAGCGATTAAATGATAATTAAATTTATGGTGTATTACCATCTAATGTAGTTCGCTTTAAAGGAATGGCTATGGCCAACTATTTGTGCGAGGAAAAACTCTTATTTATGTTCTGTTCTGTGAGTTTTCTGATTTGTGATGAGCCCATAGATTTTTTGAAGAATGCTAGGGCAAGTTTACCGAAGGTTGCAAAGTGTGGTTAAAATGAATGGTGTAAAACTAACCAATTATCTTCCTTCCTTCCTAAAAATGAAATCAATAAATTAATTTTTTTATTTTAAAAAAATACTAAAATATAGGTATCCCGTTATTCACTGCCATCGAATTAAGGCGTTTAATCCGAGCGTTATTTCAAAATACCGAACATAGGAAGAGTATATTGGGAAAAATTAAATAAACTATTTATTACCTTATATTGGTGATTATGTTTTATATATTCATAAATATTTTCGATAACGATGTTTTAAGTAATCGTTCGTGATTTAAATTGTTTATAATAAATGTGTAATATATTTGTACAATTTTTGTGGTAATTTAAATATCTTGCGATTTAACTTGCATGCATGGTATAACGAATAGTGTTGTATATTAATTGGAATCTGCCCTGATTATTTTTACAACTAACTCCTCCAGATGATTTGCATCAGCTGACTCTTTGGAGGGTCAAAATTAAAAATTGGAGATCATATTCATTTCGTAATATGAATTTCACGTGTAAAAATGAGCAAGAAAATTGAGATTTCAGGCCGACCCCCTTTCAATTTCAATAATAAATAATTTATAAAAAAATAAATTTTAGCTTGTCAATTACATTTTTCAGAGTTGTTTCAAATGTATCTAGATACGGTTACATCGTCTAAAATGTAGAAACAGATACATTTTTACAAACATATCTAGATACGGATATGTTTTTACAGATGTATACGGATAGAGATACAATTTTTAAGATTCTAATGTTAAAATTCAAATTTTTGAGTAAGCTAAAAAAGAAAATTTATTGAGCTGAATCACATCTATATACAAATATATAATTAAGACAATGATTTCTAGACTTTAATAATCATAAATTAAATATATAATTAAATGATCATAAATAATTGTTAGATGTTAATAATAAATTCTCGAATTTTTTACCCGTTCATCTGCGAAGATATTTTAGCGATATTAAACTATTTCTACTAGGGCACTTGAAGGCAGAGTGATTGTTGTATTTAATGATTGACATTATATTGATAAAATCATTAAATATATTATAATCCTGGCAGCCATTTTAAATTAAAAATTTGACGAGTGTCAAAACTTATATCTTGTTTAAATCGAATATTAAATTTATTTTCAGATTTAATTTTCCTCAAAAATAGACAATTTTGCTGTTAACCTGTGAATAATTTATATAAAAAAATATATGGAAAATTTAATATGAATTATAATAAGCAGGGCCGTAGCCAGGAATTTTCCGTTAGGGGGGCCAGCTGCTTACTTAGGGGGGGGGGCACTATTTTTAAAAAATAAAACAAATAATTAAGCATTCATAAAAAATTTTTGCTATTTTTATTAAAAAATTATTAATGTTATATGAATACAAAAAATAATACTATAATATGAACATATAAAAATAATACTATAATATAATACGACGATTTTTATTTTTAAATTTTAACATAAATGAATCAAAGGATAAATTTCATGTTAATTTTTTTTCATAAGCATCAATACTAAATTTTGCTTACTTTGATCTTTCATCGACCCTCTAGTGCTCGATAGAACTCTCAGAGAAAGAAGCCACACAAGAAGCCGCTGTTACCCCAATGCTGAGTAGCATTTATACAATTCTTTAAATGCATGATGATATTTTTTTATATATAATAATTAGGATATTTTCAGAATTATGTGTTTCCTTAACTTCTGCAGCTAATAATCAATTAGCCAATTTTCATTTCATGATGTAAAGTTTCCGTATTTAAGTTTAATAATTATTCTAATCGGGCCATTTTGTACGGTATAAAATAATCACTATCAAAGGGGGACAATGCATTAAAACTTGATAGATAATTATAATCATCGTGTGTAAATCTATCTAAAAAAATTATCAACAAAGTAATCAATAATTTCATACTAATTCTATTTTAAAGAACTCCAATTGGAGTCTTTTTCGCAATCAAATGTAATTTGGTTTAGACTAAAAAATCTTGGAAATTTATAGGCGTTTTACGTATGCTTGATGATTTGTGGAGAGTGAGATTAAATTTTGTTAAAAGTTTTTCAGCCTTTATTCTAATCAAATCAATAGAATTATTGCTTCTTATATTTTTTAAATATATTAATAGTGGAATCAATACAATTTTTACATCCACTTGATAAGTACCTACTGACTGTAGATACATAGTGGATCTATTGTTATTAACTCATAAATTATAATGGCTAATATAATGTAATTTATATTAACGTATTGAGATAAAAGACCAGAGGTTTTGACTGAATCATGAGTGCTAACCTCTGAATTTAAAATTCTATCAGAAAAGTAAACTAATACTTTATCAATAGCCTCAAAATTAATATAGTGAGATGTTTCTAAATGACCAGTCCACCTCTGGTCTAAAAGTCTCTTAAGTATGGCCTGCATATTTACAGGATACGTTAAACCGCCTAAAAAATTATGCAATGCATTGAATAAATTAAAAAAATTAGAAATGATGACAATATTATATACCAATTTTGAACCACAAGTTGTAACATGTGGTTGTAGCAATGTATAAAAGTAACTCTTTTATTAATTTTTTTTTGAAGTAGGGTATGCTCTTCCATTTCGGCCACACATAACGTTTGCACCATCATATGCCTGGTTTATCATATTCGTTGAATTATTATTTAACTCATTAAGTTGCTTTAAAATGCAATTAGTAATGCTCTCAGCAGAAAGACACAGTAAATTAATAATCCCTATTAAATTTTCTAGGACTTCTCCAGAAAAAATATATATAATTATGCTCAGGTTTTCAAAACCTGATGCATCTTTTGTCACATCAGCCTTAAGACAAAATAAAAGGCATCTCACTTTTATTATATTTATCTGAAATATAATCAAGCATCATATCTACCATAATAGATATTATTTCGTTTAAAATCGGGTGATGTATATCGCGTATTTTTGTATATAAATTTCGTAATTTTATTTAATTCAGGATCTTTTTGGATGGTGTATGAAAACATTGCTATAAAAAGTCCAGAAAGAATAAATTATGTTTTCTACATTTGCTGCATCCAGTGTCAACATATAAAAATAATCAATTACAAAAAATTTTTTTAAATTTGGGGGGCCGGAAAAATTTATGGGGGCCATTTTGGGGGGCCAAAGATTTTTTCTGGCCGTTCAACAACACTTCACAAAGGTATAGCCGTCTATTAACGAAATTTCGAGGAATTGCGTATAACATTATTTCCGTCTAAAAAATTTTAATTTTGGAATCGATCGAATCGAAGCGGTTTAACAACAATTACTTTTATGATGCAAAGGCAAATATAATTTTGATTTATGATTAATAATGATAAATTAATAATAATTAATAAATAATAATTAATAATAATAATAAATAATTAATAATAATAATAAATTAATAATATAATTTGTTTTTAGGCATCTTTTAGGAATAATTTATTTTAATTTTTTTTTTTTTATTTCATCTTGGAAAATGATTTTACGCACGCAATAAAAAAAAAATTAAGAAAGATTTTTGCTCATAATGTTTGATTTTTGTCGCGAACTTTGTTTAAACAATTGTCATTGGATGAAATCGGTGAAACCTTCATTTTAATCGGGATTTGAAACGCGCGCCTTAAAAAAAAAGAAGTTCCAGTTTCCACTTCCGGAATATTATTTCTTTTATTTTATAGTTCCAATTCTCGTTCCTAAAAAAAAAATTGAATAATTCGTTTTAAATTTGGCGCGGTTTTTTTTGTGAGTTTTCGAATTTTCTTAATAAGCAATTTAAAACAATAAATAAAACCTTCTTAAAAATGAATTCGCAACATATTTGAAACATATTTATTAAAAACACCTTTTTTAGAACGGGTTTCTCAGGTTCCCGTAAATATTAGAAAAGGAAGTTTCCAGTTGTTAGATGATCAATATGGTTGGCTGCTCAAATTTTTTGTTTAAAAGATCCAAAATTATGAAACTATTTTAGAAAATAAACCCCAAAAAAGTGTTCGGTTATAATATTTACCCGTTTCATCTTACGAATTTCAACGAAAACGGTATTTTTTCCTCAGGTTTTTTTATAGGGTGCTTTGTCCAACCGATTTTCGCGCGAATTCGAAAAACGTCATTTTATTTTAAAAAGTTCCAATGATTATGTTATGATAAAGTAAGAACAAGCCGAATTCAAATGAATAAGATCTAACCCGGTTGGCTACATCTCTAATGTATTTCTGAAGGAACTGATTGACTTTTCAAATGTCACTCGCTTTATCTAGGGGATGAGGACGAATTGCTTATATTTTAAATATTGCTGCTACGTTTATTTTATTTTTTTGATTCAAAACATTTTAATTCTTTATTTATTTTCTTATCCTTCCATATTCTAATAATGACACACTCCTTCCTGACTATCTTTATAAAAATATATATATTATACTATAATTAATATGCATTTTATTATTTTTAACTTAATCTTCACTTCCATTCATTACACTTTAAATAATTTACATAACAGATGATACAAAATATTCAAAATTATATGGTACAATTATTAATAACATTATTACACCCCAGTCCTATACTTCAGTGAAATTAGCTATGAATTATCTCCCCCTAATTTAGGAGTCAATGATATCAAATGAGCGTTGTCCAAGATATATTACGAAAAGTAGTTAAACCAATTCAATTTGCGTTTTAATTCGCAAATTCGGCGAGTAAATTCGCAGCTGATTCCAGTGAGCTAGGACCGGGGGCAATATATAACGGAAAGTAGACTACTTATCATGTAGAATCCTTATTTTGCATTTTCATGTATAAAAAGTTTCTGTCGAATGGCTCGGAGGTTTTAAACACGGGATGCTTATAAACCCTCGTTACAATATATTCGTATTTGACGACTAAATAAATGGCGGCCGCCACCAAAACGATGGCGGACAAACAGGCCATCGTTATTTTGAAGCGCGATTTGACGGGCTGGCTAGCTATGTCGTTGTAGACCATGAATCGTTCGTAAAAATATTTCAATTTCGAGGAAGAATTATCGGGAAAGATATCTAGCGGGATACCCGAAACATTAGCGGCCCCTTTTTCTTTAGAGGAATGCGAATATAACAATGCAGTTGAGCCATTATTGAGAGCCACTGAAGTGCTATTGCATAGATCCTCGTGCAAAAGGCTGAAAAGGGACTTGCCTTTCATATTTCCAGGTCCCTGACAGATAGATTCCGATAATTCTTTGGTTTGAATCGTGACTTCTTGTTTAGTCATATCCTGGAATTTGTTATAAATGAGCGTGATGAACACTTTTAATCTACAATCGCACATCCAAGGGTTACCTATAAGGCGTATTTTTTTAAAAAATGAAATAGGAAATTGATAATATAAATAGTTTATCTTTTGAAATATACAATTATTCTAATTTAACATAATAGTACCAATCATATACGTTGTCGTCCATTCATAGTTTTAATTAAGTTATAAAAAAATTATAGAATTGGTTTTTTTGTAAATTATAATATCGTCTGCTCTATTTCATTTCGATAATTTTTCTAAATATTTTATTTTAAAAGGAATAAATTGGTCATTTTTTTATTTCTACCTTTTTTATTGAACGCGTTCGATATTTGTCGATGATCGTTGAACGCGAACACAATTTTTTTTAGAAATGTTTACAGCACTAAATATCACAAAATGAAGAATAAAAACGTATTTGAAAAAAACTGAAAAAAACCTTTTTTTTTAACCCAAAAGCGATAATATTTAACTAATTTGCACGCTGCTATAGAAATATGAAATGTATTGATTCTACAAGCCAATAAAAATCACGTGGTCTACACCACCCCACCTCCATTCCCCATATCGAAAGATGGATAGAATGTCATTATAAAAGATAATTTTAACAGGATGGATGGATTCTCAGTGGGTTGAACTGTAGCTAAAAGCTCGCCATTTTCCGAACATTCTTTCCTCATTAATAATTTATAACAATAAAATATTTAGGGTATCAAAAAAAACCTAATTTATAAAACGCTCTTTATTAATGCCCAATAGATTATAATTTCTAAACGTTGTCGATCTTATGGAGATAAATTCTTTCAGGTTTATATAAATCACCTGGGAGAATTTTTAATCTCAAAATAACGCTCCCTCGCCCTAATCCTGCATTCATATACTTCGCTGCGAATTCGCGCTAACTGTGCAAGGTAATGCTCTATCCGCGCGTGAATTTTAGTACACCAATTATCCAAGATTTATAAAATCTGCTCAATGGCCCTGATAATTGAAGACTACGACGTTTTGAACTTGAAAGAGAAATTCATTAGAATGTAGCCCTTCATTTCGCAATATAAAGAAAAATCAAGTTGAAGCTCGAACAATGTAAAAATTATGATTGTCGGGTGTCATAAAAAAAAAGAGGAGAACCGATTTAACACATATATCGTTAATTATATATAATAAAGTATAATTGTGTTTTTCCCCTATAAATGTATGATAAAAGCAAAATTTTGAATAAGGGCGAAGGGTCAGGCTTATAATCCAGCATGATGGAATAAACAAGTGACGTTTTATAGTCACTCTTATAGTGCACAGACATTATCGCAAAATTTCGCGAATGCGGCCTAATCTCATGGCGTGGTGGCTAAAAATATCCAATGCGCCATTTTTTTAGGCTAAAATCTCGAAGCTAAAAACTCGGTTTAGTCTTATTCTTTTTGGAGTAAGGTTTCAGCACAAATGGACCAATCCATGATAGTGTCCTAGATAAAATATTAATAGACGTATATGTTATTTGGAATTTATCCCAATTTTATAGCCATTTTTATTTTTATTTTTTTAAAAATGTGATTTGACCGGAAATGCACATGTGAATTTTATACAATTTTTCACTTCAAGACTAGCGTTGTTAAACGGCTCGTTTTGAGCCGATTTTTAAAAACGGCTGGCTCAATATTTTATCCAGAAAAATATTACGCAAGCCTGAAGATTTTGCTCATAGAAGGAACAAAGGTATATACACATATTATCGAAATCTCAAGGCTTAGGCAATATTTTTCTGGCTAAAATATTGAGTTAGCCCTTTTTAAAAATTGGCTCAAAACGAGCCATTTAACAACACTATTCAAGACAAGTCAGATTTTCCAAGTTTAAATCCCTCAGTAAATGATTTAAAATTGAGCGATTTAGAATATTTTCAAGGACCTAAATCCGACAAATTATTTCCCGGGTTTGTGACGGTTCAGGCTCGATTTTTGAATAAAAACAGGGACTGGGTTTAGACCTACCCAGGCAGCCGGGTTCAGCTGACTAGGTCAAGTATAAATATAAATTACCCAAACTATAGTCGAATAGTAACTTTATTTTTGTTAAAATAAGAGTTTTTTTTTTAAAAAAAACGGCTTTCAGAGAAGAGAAGAAGAGAGAGAAGAAGAGAAGAGAAGAGAAGAGAAGAGAAGAGAAGAGAAGAGAAGAGAAGAGAAGAAGAAGAGAAGAGAGAAGAGAAGAGAAGAGAAGAGAAGAGAAGAGAAAGAAGAAGAGAGAAGAGAAGAGAAGAGAAGAGAAGAGAAGAGAAGAGAAGAGAAGAGAAGAAAAAACTATAAATATATGACTTTAAAAAAAAATAGCTATAACATCAAAGTAAATAGTTAGACATTTTGAATAAGGTTATTTTATTTAGATCTAAACTAGAGATCTATCTGTACAAGAAATTTTTATTTTAAAAAAAAGAGGCTTCGAGCTAAGTCCCGAATATTCGCAACGATATTGACCAAACATCAGCTGTTATGAAATTTTGGGTCCAGCTTAAATTTTTTTTTTGATTTGGGTAAGAAACAAGGCACCAATATTTTTAAAAGAAAGAATGATCAGGCACGATTATATTCAATGAAATATTATATTGAGAAAAATTCTTTTTTTTAAATTATATTAAAATAAATTCGAGCCGGGAAAGAAAGAAAGAAAGAAAGAAAGAAAGAAAGAAAGAAAGAAAGAAAGAAAGAAAGAAAGAAAGAAAGAAAGAAAGAAAGAAAGAAAGAAAGAAAGAAAGAAAGAAAGAAAGAAAGAAAGAAAGAAAGAAAGAAAGATTACCTTTTTAAAACGGGTGGGCCGAGCCGGTCAAATTTTTTTTTTCAAATTTAGTGCCGGCGTGAAAAATTAGACCCGATGCAGATCACTAATCTCTAAGCATCATTATCTTAAAAATGGAGATAAAAAGCGGCGTTTACATAAAAAAAAACCGTTACCGAGTAATCCCATGAATTTTAAGGATTCACTCATGTCGACCATTTGATCGAATAAGATAACGATATCCAACACCTTCAAATTGTTATGCCCCACATTTAAACGGGATAATTTGGGGAAATTATTGAGCAGGTATTTGGGCAGATCGGATAACGCGTTTCTGGATAGGTCCAGTACCTCGAGCGATTCCCTGAGTGGGGATAGCAGGTGAGATGGGATTTCTTTGATATTGTTTCCGGCCAATAATAGTGACCTGATTTTGGTGCCGTGGGGGAATGTTAAGGGTCCCAATAAGGTTAAATTGTTACGGGACACGTCGAGCTCTTCCAAACGCGTCAAGGAATTTACGAAATTTGCCGGGAATTTTTCCAACTCGTTATCGCTCAACTGTAACTTTAGCAACTTACTCCCGAAAGGATATTCGGAAGAATCTTCCAGGGACTTCAGTTTATTGTGATCGAGGCTCAGGAGTTCCAAATTCTTCAATCCGCTCACCATTTTAGTATCGAACGATTCCAAGGAATTCTCCGACAAATACAATCCCTTTAAATTGGGTAATCCAGCCAGGGCATCCGGGGAGAGGCGTTTCAATGATACCCCTTCTAAATTCAAATGGAGCAACGAATCTGTTAACGAACTATTGAGTGGGAAAGCGTTATCGAGTATGGATTCGATATAAGAGCCCGCTAAATTTAGGCGCGTTATTGAAGGTAGGGGCCTGAATACGTGGTCATACTTCGACACGCTTAAATTTCCTATCTCTATAGACAGGCATAGTTGTTGCAACTCGGTGAAATGGTTTAGGGCGTTCCAAGGAATGCCCTTAAATCTTTTCCCGTGCAAGTAGACCTCTGTCATATTCTTGTTTATGCCCTCGAAGGAACCATCGTACACATCCTTTAAAGAATTGGATTTGAAGGAAAAATAACGTAGTTTCGGCGTTTTTAAGTTTCGGAATATACCCTGCGGGATGTAGGTCACCGTGGACAACTCCAAATTCAGGGATACGAGCTTATTCATTTCCCCCTCCAACGCTTCCATGATGACGAAAAATATGTTCTCCATTTTTTGTTTGTCCTCGTTCTCGCCGCCCGGTAACTTCTCGACTATCGTCAAAACCTCGATATTTTCGAACAAGGGCGCGAACGTGATCTGAGATATTTTGGAGATACGGTTATCAAAAAGAATCAGATGGTTTACGGCATCCTCGAGCCCTTGAAATTCGCTCTTCGCCATTTCACTTTGCGCCTCACCGTCGTAGCCCAATTGGTCCAAAAAGTTACGCTCTAACAAGAGAACGATACTGCTGACATTCCAAGACGCCCATTTTTTCCGGGCCCTGTAAAAGTCTTTGAGCCGGGCCAACCCCTCGTCGCCGAACAGCAAGCTGGCGTTAGCGTGGGAGCATTTAATTATCATCAAGGGTACGTCGGAAAGTGTTCCATTTAAATCCTCGTATCTCCCTGGAGGAAATCTCGTTATCACGGAAGGGATTTCGGCCGGGTCGCTGATGCACTGACAAATTTTGGGCCGTTTGCTGAAATCCGGGCAATCCTTGATCAATTTGTAAGAATGGGCGTGTTGGTTGAGGGAAAATAACCAAATGAACCCCAGAAATATTGAACGCGATATCTTCTTGGTGACCATCGTCGCCTCTGGTTATGACGTATATGGATGTCTTGTCATCAATCAAAATACGAATTATAATGATTTTTTTTTTACACAAGATGTATAATCTAAACTCACCCCCCTTTTTATAGTTTCGAGGAAAATTATTATCTTTTAAATTAATAATTTTTTAAAATGATTAAATTAATATTATTTTAAAAAAGATAATAAATTAATTTTTTATATTTCTAAACTATTAATTAAATTTTTAAAGAAGAAAAAGATGGAGAAAAAAAACGCTCATGGGTAAATATTAAAAAGGGGGATGGTAAAAACAATTAAATTTCACCTTTAAAGGCTGAATCATTTGATATAATATTTTGATAATGAATAATAATATCTATCAATATTTGCTATGATTTTTTAAAAAAAAGTCAATAAGAAAAATAAGACAACAAATTCAAAAAATGACATTGATTTACAAATAAATAAAAATCAAAATACAATAAATAAAATAGAAAACATATTTAAAAATTCTAATTTAAAAATTATATTTTATTTTTGAGTTTTTAGTTTAAATTTTTAAATAATAATATAATATAATTTTATTGATTATTTATTAAAAAATACGATATCATATAAACTGGTGGTGTGGTTAATTCATAGATAGAGTTACAAATTTGTAATTTTTTCGTATTTTGTTTTGAAGTCATTTTTAAAATATATATTTCAAAGCAAAAAAAGAAATATTTTGATTAGAATTTAACACCTTTATAAAAATTATTTATAATTTTTGAGGTTACCATAGTTTTTCAAATATAAAAAAAAATGGAAATTTTAATTTTGTGAATTAAATACACAAAAAGAAACATATTTTGAAGATAGGAAAGGAAATAATATAGGGCTGCATCCAAAAATTTAGAAAAAAGTCGATGCGTCTTATTCATTTGGTTAAGCATAAATATTAACTTTAAATCTAGGGAATAATTAAGTCGTCATCTTGTGTTGTGTTAAACGGCTAACTCGATATTTTATACAGAAAATATATTGCCTAAGCTTCGAGATTTCGATAATATATGTCTAAACCTTTATTTTCTTCTATGAGCAAAATCTTCAGGCTTGCGTAATACATTTCTGGATGAAATATTGAGTTAGCCGTTTTTAAAAATCGGCTCAAAACGAGCCGTTTAACAACACTATCGTCATCGTTAAAGAAAATATATTCGATATGGGTTTTTACCATTGCAAATCGTTTTCAAGTTTTATCACATCTTCATCTTTCCCCGTTATAAAGTGCATCTGTTTACAATCCTTTTTAAATTGCGAGAAATTACAGAATAGCTTTGGAATATTTTTATCAATCGAATTATGTATCTCTTAATTCACCAGGAATATCTGAAGGAAACTTTGTTGGAAATTTTATCGAATGAGAAGATTTTTTTTTAAAAAAATGTTAATTTAAATTGAGAATTTAAAAACGTTTCCAACATATAATTCCGAAAATTTCAAAACTTTTAGAAGTTTTAAAACTTTTCGCACTTTTTTTTAAAAAAAAAATTTTGGACATGGCCTAGATTAAATAAAATCAATTCTCCAAAAAGAAAAATATGTATTTCAAATTAATTTTGGCCATTTTTTAAACCCTTTAGTACTTCTCGAGGAATAATACCTAGACTGACGGCTCATTCATTTACCCTTACAAATCAACTGTTTGATCGCCATTTTGGTGTACCGTATAAACAAATTTATATTGTATTTTTTATGAAAACTTTTTCCTGTTTTTTTACAGAATTTCATCAAAAAGAAGTTATAAGGGAAAGCAAAATGACGTGTTAACAGCTGATTTATATTTAACGGCCTGTATCCTCCACTTACCATTACCATATCTCCCCCGTCAAATAATTTCATAATCTTACTATATAGTGTATATATATATATATATACTTATTCCTTATCAAGCCGGCTTGCATCGGCTATCAAAATTTATATTTTAGATGGCCGAAACCGATGATTCTTACAGAAAAAATTGAGCCCCCTTAAAATCTTAACCGCCGATTACGGTCAGGCAGGGCCGATCTCAGATTACTATAATCACTTTTCATTCCCCCGGATCGTCATTGCTTGAAAGTCCCAATCATATTTCGTTTCGCCGATTTATTGATCCATTTCCTTATCCCGATCTGAATTTTTCTTGGGAAATTTATAAGTTAAAAAATTTATTCATTCATTTTAATATCGATTATTAGTATCCGGTTGTATATACAAGATTTTAAAAAAAATTTGCGGAATTACGAATTTAATTAAAATTTGTCATAATAGATTATATAATTTTTCTTTTCTCTCTCTCTTTTTTGTTGTTGGAAGAACTAATTGCATATAATAATACCTAGACTGACCATGCATTCATAATGATGCATTTGAAAGAGTTGTTGAATGCAAATCATCTGGACCCGCCATTTCGGTAACACATTTAAGTAATTATTCTCATGTTAAAAAAATACTATTAAATTGATAACTTGCTTCCTTATTATCTCGATTAATCGGGCAATTCTTTAATAAAGTTTGCGTCAGACATAGTTATAAATTGGCCTCTAAATTTATAATGATATGGGTAATCAAAAATGGCCCCTCCAGCTGTTTTCATTGATGTACAGTTTTAAAGAATGCATCATCTCTAGGTATTATTGATGGATGTTTTTTTTTAAAAAATAACAATTTAAATAATGTTGAAAAATAAAAATTATGAAAATCTGGCAACTTTAGCGTTCCGAAAATCGATCACGATGGCGAAGCTTGTATTCAATGACTTCAAAATGCATTTTGATGGATGGATTTGTCAGTCTGATGGACATATTTTTTATTCGATCCTCTCAATTTCTTATTTTAATTTTCCTGGCACTATTTATATATTTCAGGATTATACAAAGGATTTTTTTTCTGGTTTCGCCTCAGAACATAAATAAGCACTTTTCGCCTTTTAGCCATTTGTATAGCTTCCTCTAAACAATCCTAAAAAAAAGTAAGAGATTATTTAGATTTACGACAAACGGTAAATGAATTTGAATGCAAAACTTAAAACAAGCCCAAAAATTATGGGGTCATAGTTCAAAAATCTGTTTAATAAGATGGATCAGCTGAGCCTTAGACTTGCAAAGTAGAGAAAAACTATCCTAGCCCTGAATTAGTCATTACTACGAATTCAAGGTAAAGATTCGTATATTAAATTTTACAATGCATTTTAATAAATGGGTAATAAGCATCGAAGTTCGCCATTGGAAAAGCATTTAGACCAAATGTTAAGAATGCCTTTTAACAACTTGAACACTTTTTGGCAGTTGAATGCCATCAAAGTCACTCACTGTGAGACCTTATTTATTGTGAACTCCAGGGTTCGTCACAATTCAACAAGTTGATGGATTTTTAAAATCCGTTTATGTGATCAATTTTTCTTCATTAAAAGATAGAGTTATTATTAATATTTAAAAAAAATTGGTCTCATAAACAAGATTTTTAAAATCGATCAGCTGTTAAATCATGACCGGATCCCACTATGAATGCGGCCTGATTGCACTCCTAACACCCGTGTTTACGTTCAATATAACCAACATCTGAAGATTCTTGTTAAGTGTTATATACATCATTGTTTGTTAACCAGGATGGTAATCCTTATAGAAGTATTCAATTTTTCAATTCATCCATTAAATAAATTTGACGATATCTCAATTTATCTGAATCAACACCAAACCACATGTCTAATCAGTTTATATAGCGATAAGATTTTATAATCGTCCTTCGAGAGACTTTTATGTCGTATATACCTCTAGAGAAAAGCGATTTTTTTTTATCTAATCGCACGGACAGTTTTAGCTCGGACATCTAAGTAGATACACAAGTTGGATTCGTGGATATCAGCTGTTACGGTAAACTAATATCCTCGGCACGTCTTTAATCACCAGAGTAATAGAGATGTGTCGTCACCTGATACGGTTAATTAACCCTATTTATACAAATCTGTATTCCTTTATATTAGATAAATCCCTTATTCGTTTAATTTTATTGCAATTTTGTTGACATTTCAATGAACTATTTCATTTCAAATTTATGATATTATTTTTATATAATGAAAATTATATTTATTAATATTTAAAATTGATTTTTTTTTTGGTTTTAAAATATATTTAAAAAAAATAGATATACTCAAAATTATTTAAATTTTGAATTAAGTTATTGCCATGTGGACTAATCAATGACATTAATATTACCTAGACTGACGATACATTCATTAAAGGTGCCCAATGAAAACAGCTGGAGACGCCATTTTGGTTACCCGTATAATTATCAAAAATTTTAAACGAGAGTCCAATTTATTCCTAAGTCTGACATAGACTCTGTTAAAGAATTGTCTGATATGATAATAAGGAAGTAAGTTACCAATTTAAGTATAGTTTTTAACATGATAATATATTATATGGGGTTACCAAAATGGCGGGTCCAGCTGATCTGCATTCATCGACCCTTTCATATGCATTATTATGAATGCGTCGTCATTTAGATATCATTATATATGTCATTGGGAAATAAAATTTGGAGAATTAACTTCAAAAATTATTTACATTTTTGAAAACTTATTTTTACTGTTCGTTATCTCCATTTATATCAAATTTTGCTCTTTTTGGTATTTTTAGGGTTATTGTGCTAATTTGCCATTTACATTTGTTCATTTAATTTGACATCCTCAAACTTACGTGTTATTTTATAACCACAAGAACGCTTAGTGATTTTATTACGATATAATTATGCAATGAATTTTAATCCTATTTTGATTAATTTTCAGGATGATAAAGGCTAATTGCTTGTATTTTTTATTAACGTTTTAACTTTTTCCTCATTTTTTTATGTTCCGATTTTGGTCAAATTATAAACGTTATATTTCTTTTAGTTTTTTTTTTATGAAATACCTTCTATTACTAGTGGATAACACATAGAATCTGACAATATTTAATGTGATACAAGCATTTTTATTCTTAAGCACATTATTTTATGTATTTAGGCTCCCATAGATGACACATGGTATCATTATTTTTATTTTTATAAATACATTTGTAAAATAAAAATTCATTTGGCTTATTACATTTGCTAAATATGCCTGTTAAATATCAAATTTATAAATGTATTATTTACCATTTTTTGATACTTTTAAACAAAATGGTAAATTTACGTTACATTTGCTCATTTATTAATTAAATGTTGGCATTTGTTATTTTATTTCATTCGTCCATTTACTAAGAATTTGAACATAGATACATGGTTCTTTTGGGCACTTTGGGGTGAAACGGCTTAGATACAACTTTGCTATTACATTTGCTCATTTACTATTAAATTTGATCATTTGCTATTAAATTTGCTAGATTTGCCAATTTAATATCAAGTTTTGTTTTGACACTATTA